AATCATTCATTTATATATATTCATTTATTTCTCATCCTCGCACGTTTACTGCTTGTGATATGATAAGTGTGCTGCGGGGAAAGTTACGTATTCATTCAAAAGTTGATTATATATTCGTTAAATAGAATTCACAATGCCGTTGAACTGAAAAAATAGCATATGTAGGTGGCGAGTAGATGATATATTCGTTAAATACCATTCAGAATGATATTGAACTGAAAAAATAGCAAATGCGAATGACGAGTGGAATCTGTTTATTTGTGAGAAAATAACTATATCAAAGAATAATATTGGAAGTAACTTCCTAGAAGAAAAGTTTTCCAATTGAAACTACTTTTAAAATTTACAGTTTAAGTAGATAAGCACTTGGAATTTCAAAATTTGATATGATTCTTCTTATGATTAAAAAGATTTAAAGATTTCAAAAGATTCGAAAAGATTTAATAAGTTTGGAAAATCTATTAATAATCATTTTTCATGGCGGTTATAGCCTAAAATGTATCAAATCACATTTTTATCCGCATGATGTTCAATTTCTGCTTGAAGGCCATTGTCAATCCGGCTATCTTGAGGACCAAGATCGTTTTAATCTCCGCTGGAAGTTAGGAGATAATTTGTGCAGCCACAGGTAATGTGCAGCATTATTTTTTATTTACAGCTAATTTATCAGATCATTTACTCATTCAAAATTTTCTAATAAGATCCGCTGTCAATACGTGAAGCATCGATGTCACCGCAGCATAGCCAGCATTACTTAAATGTAACGACATGATACGTTTAAGCAAATATCATGCAACAATATTTGACATCGAGACATCAGTAATGAAAAACTAACTCTGTTAATTCCTTTTGTTTGCACCCAATGAGACACCTCTAAGAATGGCTTACAGACGAGGCTATTTCTTAAGCCCTCTATGTGCCATCACCCCTGAATAACAATCAATTCCTTGTCTTCAAAATAAAACGAGGAGCTTGTTTTTACCAGCTCGTATTCCATCGATTATGAGATCGCGCATGTTTTTCGTGACCGAGATCGCCCCTATTTGCCCTTCCCTTTCAAGGGATATTGTTTGGTCCAAAATATTTCCGCGAATATTTGGCGAGGGGAAGGCGCGTGAATATTGAGCCGATGGGGATTGTGCATTCAGGCTCCGTGGCCGTGTTTTGTTTCCAGCTGCCGAGGCGGTGGCGGCGAAGTGGAACATTCGAGGGCTTCGTTAAATCGCATAATTCAATAAAAGGTGGAGGTGAAAAGCAACACTAATTGTTTACCTTTGGGGGTCTTAACGTACCTTTCATTGGGGTTCATCTTACCTACACGTGAAGGACTTGGTTACCGTCTAGTGGGGTAGAATTTATCTTTACCTTAAAAACTAATTAACTTGCCTATCACTAGGGTCCAATTTATCTGCACGATAAGTTATAACGTGCCTTAATCAAGGATTTAGCTTACCTACCTGATGAGTGTTACAATGGCTTACAGTGTGGCAAGGGGGGTTCTAACTTGCCGCAATGTGAGATACGGGGTTCTAACGTGTATTCTCTTAACTTGCCTACACGAGGAGTTCAAACGTGTCTCCCAGGGTGGTCTAACTTACTAATTTATAAGGTTCTAACCACCAACCAGTGTGGTCGTCATGGACATGACAGTAACGCAGTACTATGAACAACAAGGTTCTATTACCACCTTCGCTTGTTGGTGCCATCACTGCATTCATTAATTCATCAAGGCCTGACATTCATGAGACTACCTGGACGCTGATCTCAAAGCCCGATCGATGGCGTAACATTTTCAGCATGAATCATTAGTATTTTTACTGCTTAATATATAATTCAAATCTTGAAGTCACTGGTGTTAGGCGTCAAAAGTAAGAAATATTCTGTTGCAGCAATTTAATAAATGTTTTCATCGGGACTTCAGCAGACAGGATTTCATTGATACATTGTAGTTTTATAAGTTTTTAGCTGCTTCACAATCGCAAAAACCATTACCTAGAACTGGTGAGTTTTATTTCGTTACATTTTAAGTCGATCAATGAACTATCGTAATTAGCGAAGTGGAGCGCATACAAAATACTATGGTTTAAAAATTAATACAGTTTTCAACAATAACCATATCGACAAATTGCTTTAAATTATTTTAATGTATTTTATATGACTGCTTGCACTGTCTTCATTCTAGTTTAAAATGAAAACGATGCCGGACGCTTTTCCGAGATCAGAAATTTTTTGTCGACGCACTCAACAGCCTCATTGTTTTACCTCGTGCAATAAGCTCTAATTTAATCATTAATCCGGGCCGTTAATTGAAACGTGAATGACAACAAACAAACCAAGTAATTAAATCCAACATTGAATTCAGCATTTGCCGGTGCTTAAAAATATTTAATTTCGTGTCAAGGGCTCCGGTTTCTTTTTCATTATTTATCTGATATAAATAATATTTACTCTCAATATCCACAGACCCTGAATAAACATCATAATTATTTTAAAACAGGCAAACTCGTATATCGCGCACCCATCGACCCCATTTTGATGAGGGTCAGCAAAAAGCTTGTAAGTTTTCATGACTTTTAAAACCAAAATATTTATTGCATCATTACACATAATATTTAATTTGTTATAATAATCTCAAAAAGTGAGTTGAACAAATTATAATTAACGCAATAAATTTCAGTCTGAGTATAAAACACAACAATTCAATCCAAGTAAATTTCATCACTTAAAAGTAAAAAACAGTTTATTAACACATACGAGATACTTGCAGTAAAAAAGGTACAAAAAGTCACTAGTCTCAAGCTTTGCAGGATGTGATCGAGAAAAGTATAACATGGAGCAAATTGCTTAATGTGACACACACGTGAAGCAAATTGATATCAAAGGCGGTTATATCCCAATGTCGGATTACGCCTAAACTCATGGAACAATATCGCAAAGTATAAAGACATGAACTTATTTGCTTCGCCAAAAATGAATTGAAACAATTCCCAATTTTTGTGATACTACCTGAAGTCTGTGAATCGCGCGATGTAATTCAAAATCAACTGATTAATCCAATAGACGAAAAATGAAGTGTCATAAGCATCTAGTGATTGTTTTATTCTCAAATGTTGATCATTTTTGAACACGCGACAATGAGTAATTTAAGCTATTTTGTATAATTTTTACAAAAATTTCCACAATAAAAAAACTAATTATATCCAAGATTGCTGGCTGGTTATCATCATACAAATGATTTCCTTAACACTGTGAGAGATCGTGAAGCTCAATCACATCTACAAGGAGCCTCATTCCTTTGTGCCCGGCCGGGGAACTTTGCTGTATGGAATCTAGGTTAATCTTGCATTTTTATCCATCCAGGTCATAAAATCTATTAGGGTCGCATCTAAAGTTAGAGCGGTAGAGGAAAGGTTAGCTTGAAACGGCCACTGAATCAATAAAATTGAAACGGCTGGTAAGCTGAACAGGTTTTTGATCAATTTGGCTTACAGCTACCGACTTTGTAACAAGTTTTATTGCAATAATCGAGCAACAATTCCGTGAAGCAGTCAATGAATCAAATAAATCTAAGCAAATAACGGCAATAAAGCTTAAATGAAGCGGCACGAATAGGGCCATGCAAAGGTCAGCCCGACACTACATTTACGTCTAGCAGAAAATAGCAGGCGTTGGCAGCAGCTGGAGTCTATGTGTGAAGAGTCGAGCAAAGCTTCTTATAAATTTGCATAAATGCTTTTAAGGCGGAGACTAGCATTTCTCAAAGAAGATTAAGGAATGTCCATGAGCGCGAGGAATAGAAATTGTGAGCTCTTAGGTTGTATGAAAATCTGCATGGCTGAATATTGGATAATATACGGCCCTTTGAGTTTCTTTTGAAGACTTGAACCAACAAAAGAACATCATGGACAAAATAATATGCGTTTAAAAATTACTTTTTAAAGACAACACTACTAAAAAGGCCGGTGTATCCGATGTTACACATGTACAGTGAATTTCTTATTTGGTTTTTGAATAGTAAAAAAAAATATTTTTAAATCATCTTGAAATGTTAAAAAAATTTACAAATTATCTTTTCTTTCAACTTATTCATGCATTGTCTCCGACTTACGCAAGTGTGCAAAATTTTAAATCGATTGAATAGGTAGACGTGTCTTAAATATCGATTATAAGATTTGTAGAAGACAGACAAAAAACAAAAAGTGAAGTTAAAGAGGAGTGTCGTAATAATAAGTGGATAATGACAATTTTTGAACAGAATTGTATAAACAAGGCTATGAAATTCCTATCATTTCATTTCCAATTGGCAATACTACATGTAAAGAATCACCGAACCCTTAATTTGTCAACCGTCTTCATCTATTTGACTCTATTATGAAATTTTCCAATACGTAAAACCACTTTGTTAATTTACATACAATACTTCATATAATTCAGGACCAGATAGTCACCGTAAATACTATAGTATATTTCCGAGCCCTTTTAAACCGCTAGTTTAAATTCCTTTAATTGAGAATAACTAGCCTAAACGCAGCCTATCATGATTCTCAATTGCCGCATCGTGAAGGTCGATAAATATTTGAGCACCTGTGAGCCGCCTGCCATCGTCTCAGTCTTCCGTTTGTCCAGCTGTTTATATTGATTTTATATATCAATCTACGGGAGTATATTTAATGTAATTATTTTAATCTACTAATTATCCTTCCCAACAGATCTAGAATAACTCGAACAATCATAGGCATCACGTCAATGTCGTGGTGTTCTGAATTGCCATGCAATTTATATTGATTTTATTCATATGTGTTTTGGAGTAACTGTAATTGAAATGTCTTCCTAATTTCCAATTGTTTTCACTTCAGGTCGAGTTTGCTCGAGCACCTACGAGCCGCGGGCCACCGTTGGGTCTTCAACATTTATCTGATATTTAAAATTTTTTTTCATTTTTCTTGTGAGGTAACTTGAACTTACATTTATTTTTGATTCCAAGTTGTCATTTCCTACAGGTCGAGAATTACTTGAGCACCTACGAGCCGCACGCTATTGTCGTGGTGTTCAGCGTTGTTGACGAAGGAAGCTTTTCGAGAGCCGAAGAAATCCTTCAGTATCTCTGGCAGACCGACTTCTGTGAGAAGAAAGGAGTCATTTTAGTTGCTAACAAGACTGACCTTGTCCGCAGTCGCTGCATTCTCACGAAAGGTGATAAAATTATTAAATATATACTTACTAATTTCGGTAAAATTTATCTTTCATTTTTGCATTTAAATTTCTTTCAATTCGGTAGGTGGTTCAGCTTTCCAGACTTTAATAGTTTTTTTACATTTTTGATCGAGATAAACTTTTTGGTTTATGGTTTAATTGTAATTGAAATGAATATTTGAACACAATTTACTTTTCATTTACACTAATTTCTCCCCACTATATTTGCCAACATGTCGAAAATATTTACGCAAAAATTTTGTCAAATTGAAATTATTCAGTGAGTGAAATGAGCATTCATTGCGTATAACTTGACGATTTTTTATTTATTCAAGTAAAATAATTGATAAGTAATTTATTTATCTCTGGAAGATTTTTAATATCAATCTAATTTCTGCTGTTCTCGCTATAAAAAAGATAAACTTGTTACCATTATCTCTCGCATGTTTAAAAGTTGTAATTCTATTTTCAAACTATATTTATTGATCTTTCAGTCAAGGTTTGTGCACATTTTAGAACGAAATTTTAGTTTGCGTGATTATTTTTTTTTAATTTTACTCGAATATTGTTGAGCCGAGTTAATTGACTGGAGACTAGTAATTGTTAACGGATTGATGGCCACTGCAATGACTAATTGGATCAAGAATTATTTCATGCTTAACTTTCATATAATGGTTATATTGTGTATAATGAATTCTTCCCTAAAGTGCAATACTGTATATGCAATACTGTTAATATTTGGGGACAATAACCTTGAATTCAAATTGCATTATACCCCACGTAAAGGCAATAGAGGAAAAAAGCTCTTTAAAATGCCAAACTTTGAACACGCAACCATTTTCGGTGCTGCCCTTTGTATAAAGTGTGTCGGTGAGTATCGAGAATTCGTGCAAATCTTGCATCATCTTTCTGAAGGCATTCAAAGGGCTTTGAGGAAAGCATTTCTTGTGTTGAAGTGAGAGGCAAGACCTGCTCATATTAAAACCTCGCTACAAAGAAATTGCTGACGCCGGCATCTTTCGAGACCGGCGTATGGTTTTATTTCGCTAGTCTTCGCAACATTTCGTGAAGCTGTAAAGAAATTTGTAAAATCTATTCCAGTTCGTTCCTACTTCGTGACAAAAAATCTGATATCGTTCGAACCGACCTGAATTTGTCTCAGTTCATTTCAACCCATTCTTGATGTCGTTGGGTTTTTTTGAATAGAACGTTTAAAAAAAGTTTTTGTTTAGAAATGAAAGGTTTGAACAGCGAAATATTTGGAAATAATTCAAATCTAACGCGTTTTGAAGTGGGCTTCACATAAGTAGAAGAAAAAAAGGTTGTATTTTACTAAGATCAGACAAACCAAAAATGTTTCATCGTGATTCAGCTCACTCATGTTTTGGTTCGAGTATAACAGAATTGGATCGAAACAGTTTTATTCTGATATCATCGTTTCAACAACCTTTTGATGATTCGAAAAAGATCCATTGGAGAACTATCACACACGACCCAGAAATATTTCTTTACGACAGATGAAAAAAATTTCACAGAATATATCCCAATTTTAGGTCGCGATTTTAAATTGTAGCTCTACCATTATACTGTGGCCATATTTTTACCTTTCCATTTGATTTATTAGTTTTTCAATAAATATCAACAAATCCGTGATAGGATTCTAAAAGGTCGCACGATGCCAGTAAATAGAACAGCTTTTACGAATGTTACAAACACTCCATTTTAACAGCATCTTCAATAACAGCGTTTTTACTTAATTGACATTTCTCATTGTTATTTCTCTTTGTTCTTCTACATGAAAACTAAGTCTACATGACTAAGTGGTATGAAAAAATATATATTCTACATTTTCAGAAATTAACGAGCTTTGATTTAAAAAGTAAGCTTTTTGTTGACAATTCTAGAATATTATAATTCCTAAAATAAACAGAAAGACATTTAGAATAAATAATTTTCCAGTGAATGATTGGATATTTTAAAACATTTTCATCGTTTCATACAATAGAATCTTTTTTCAGATTAACTTGATGCTTAAGCAAATGCTTGCCCCATCTTTCCCCAGTAAAATTTCATTTCAGCGAACAAATTGCACAAAGCCAACGGCCCCGTCCCATCCCAAGCTCCTATAGTTTCGTCGCTATTACGGATCAAAGATCAAGGAGCCCCTCTGATCCTGGAGCAAGGATCGACCAAGCCATTCTTACTGACACGACAAGAACCCCTATAAAATTGTTGGACTCAAAAACCTTGTTGTTGAGCTCGAAAGATCAGCCGCGATGCTATGAACACCATTCACACTGCTGGCTGTTTGATGAGAAGCTGCACTGAACACAACTCGGTTACGAAAATTTTTACTCCGAAAATATCTATGTATGTCTTTAGTTTTAAAATAAAAATATTTTGCATCTTATGTTCATTTTGTAGGCATAATATATTCCTCAATTTAAACTCAAAAATTTACATTCAATTTTTTTTAATGATTGGAGAATAGGGCCACAGAAAAATAGTTTGCTATTTAACTGAGATTAATACAGAAGCCCTTTGTCTTTGATTTTGGCTAACTAATTATTCAATTAAATGAATAATTGGTTTTAGAATGCATAACTCCTTATTTTACTATAAGAATTGTGATGAAATGGTTCTCTAGTAAAGCACTACCAGGAAATAGATTTAGCCTGCAGCAAAGTCATTTTTTTATTACGTCCACGCAATAATTTTATAAAGTGGTACGCCATGAAATCCTGTGCTCGCCAAAATTTTAATGCACTTTCCACTGCTAAAATGGACGCATTGTGTCATTGTCAGGAACACGATTTGGGGATCCAGCTTTTATTTTAGAGCCACTCGCTTATAAGGGAAAATCGTGCAATATTTCGGGGACGTCAAACAAATTTTTGCAATTGGGATCAGGAACAAATTACAACATCCGGGAATAAATATAAATTACATTAAAGTTTGGCTATAATTTTATGCATTGTAATTACTTGCTGGTTTAAAATGTATTGTTAATTTATTCGTTAGCATCAAAAACCCATCAAACTCACCGCTCAAATAGCATTAAAAAATTATTGCGTTGATACTTTTTCAGAACTTTAAACAAGTATACGCTTTAATTTGAAAATCATTAATCGAAATGACGATCTAACATGCACATGGAGTTGGAAATGGTCTCATCCCATCGCAATATTTTGCTAGTCTCGACATAATAATAAAAATATTTTAACCGAAGAATCGCTCCCAAATTTCAGTAATTGAACTTCAGCTTTAATTAAGTTGTATTCGAATCAAGCTTAGGGATATAAATATTTATTAAGATTCACCTGCTAGAATAGGTAACTCATGAATTGCCTCAAAAATAATGAAAGTGGCCTCAAAGAATTCGAATAATTTCAATATGACTTCCGTAGTATTCATATGAATTTGATATTAGAGATTATTTAAAATAAGCACTAGAGAAAATAAATGAACTGTTATCCAAATAAAGTAAACAAACAACTTTCCGGCAGTTTGACCACGAATTACAGGCTTTTAACCAATAAAATCTTTCAAAAAATAACTTCGAGAAAAATTGAAATCCTTTTAATGGACGGAAATAACTGGTAATTAACATGACAGAATCGTATAATAATTGAAAGAAAATTGTGTAATGAGTAATATAAAGAGTGCAAAAATATTTTATAATAAATTGTAAGATCGCATAGAAATAAAATGAAAATTTTTAGAATGTATGAAAACTTTACGAGATGTGCTTTAGATGTGCACGATAATTATATGTGGGGATGACATCAAAAATATATTAGATATTTCCTAAATCAAGGAGAAAATGCGACACCAATTGAAAATATATCTATGAAATTTGCTGGCAACCTACTGGAAATTTTTTTGGTTAAGCACTGAACTTTTGTATGTAAAGTTTATGCATAAACGTTCCTCTTTTTCCATATACTAATATACGATATTTCGTATAATTGTATTTTTTCGTATTAGATACGAGCATGGAATTTACGATTGCAGATTATTCGTGATTCTTTCAAGCAGCACACACACAACATAACCACCACTTACACAAGACTGAATATCTTCGTATTAAATCTGTCACTTGGAGTAGCCACTTCTTATAAAAGTTCATTCTTAACTACACCAAGTAAATAATTAGAAGTACATCCGTAAGCCCTTCAATCTAATTAACTATTATCTTCTGCCTAATCAGCACATTAATTAACGTAAATTTTCGAAAAGTTATAAAATGGAAGAAATTACACATAAACAGCAGAGATATTTTAAAACTGGCACAACGAGAATGCCAAGCAGTGAATGTAATTAGGTTACTAGGTCATCGTTTTCATAAGCTTTGCATTGCATTACACTGTGGGCATACGCAGGTAATTATTTTAATGAGAACGAGAGTAAGTTTACTGGAGCATGGACTCAGAAAAACAGGGATATGATTATGTATAACGAATAAAATACAAAATTGGTCATTGACACAATATTTATTAAATGTGAAGCTAACCATAACAATAGGCATGCAAAGTTGAAGAATAGCTACAGAGGCTTTACAGTTACAGAGGCTTTACAGTTACAGAGGCTTTACAGTTACAGAGGCTTTACAGTTACAGAGGCTCTACAGTAACAGAGGCTTTAAATTTACAGGGACTTTATAGTTGCAGAGACTTTATACACACAAAAAATTAATTGCCTAAATGACCTTCCAGAATAAGAAACAGGTCAATCTTGTAGGTAAATCTGTTTACGCAGGTTAACTCGAAATAGTAAAATCAGCATTGATCAGGAACTAACCTCTTGAAGCAACATCTTGAAGGTGGTGCGTGTACCGTTAGAAGGCACACAAAGACATTTCCCCGAAATCAATGGAAAACATGCTTGCTGGCTCAGAATAGGATAAAATCTAACGATTATCTCCATCTTATTAGGCTTTATACATGCGCACAATATTATAACTTATATTAGTATTATGGTAATATTATTTTAAGTTGCCATTGCTAAGTCTTAAACCCACCTTTTGAACATGGTTTTTTGCGGTCGTATTTTAGCTGCTCTATTGATACGCATCTATACGTATCTTGGCTACCGAGTATGTCGTCTCATATACAAGGATTGTGGAATCCGATACTTCTCATCTTTGTTTAGAAATATCGGGTTAGTCGGCATGCTAGGCGGCCTTGCAACTTTTTCTGGGTTACCGCCTTCCTGTGCTGGGTTAAGCTGCTGAGCTGGATTATCCTGCTGTGCTGGATTATCATGCTGTGCTGGATTATCCTGCTGTGCTGGATTATCCTGCTGTGCTGGGTTATCCTGCTGTGCTGGGTTATCCTCCTGTGCTGGATTATCCTGCTGTGCTGGATTATCCTGCTGTGCTGGGTTATCCTGCTGTGCTGGGTTATCCTCCTGTGCTGGATTATCCTCCTGTGCTGGGTTAAGCTGCTGTGCTGGATTATCCTGCTGTGCTGGGTTAAGCTGCTGTGCTGGGTTAAGCTGCTGAGCTNCCTGCTGTGCTGGATTATCATGCTGCGACAGGTTACTCTGCCTCCCAAGGTTAAGTATTACTGCTTTAATCCATTTCATATCACACACTACCTGTCGTGTAGCCAGGAGGGTAAACCTGCTACGCCGGGATATCTATAATAACTTAATCACAGCCTAATGGGCAACGTCCAATTTGCCTGCTTCTAAATTGTTATGACTTGCTTAGAGACAATTTTGCAATTGCTTAGAGGTTCATCTCAGAAGCTAAAATTACCATCAACAAAAACTCACAATTTTTCTCTCCTTTCATGTCAACTACATTGAATATGAAATATTTTATTTCTCATCCCCCTCAATCAAGTCCCTGTGAATACCATTTTCTGTTTAACTGTCCCTTTACAGTGCTAAAGACTGCCCGTTTTATTTGAATTCGAGCTCCCGTTTCTCCGACGACCGGCAGTTTCCCGTTGCAAACCACCGCTTCTCGCCCGGCGTTCGCAGGGAAATGAACGGCATTAGTCAAGAGCGAGAACGTCGGTCGATCATCTGTGTTTTTCCCTGAACGCAAAGACTGAATAAACGAGATCGAAAAAATGATAACTGCGATAAATGGCACCTTGAAACCATGCATTCAACCTCCGGAAGAGAATATCGCTCAAGAATTCCGTCAAAAGAGTTTAACAAACCTTTCATCTCGGAAGACGCATTTCCAGTTTTTAATTGAAATGGAAATTCAACGCTACATTTTTTCGAGATTTTTTTTCATATTTTTAATGGGTGTAGACGATATCTGCCCCATAACTCTCACCCGCTTCACTTCATTTTTTTTTTTTTTTGTAACTCATCTTACAGTATTATTTTGCCAGTTCTTTTATTTGTCTATACGGAAGATAAAATGGCTTTAATTAATCTGCTTTACATTCACATCAAGCCTATCACTTGCTTCATAAGCAACTTATATCGTCTAGATGTTAATTTTCCTATGAAATAAAGAATGGAAAATTTTTCGCGGACACAAATACGCAGGACATCTCACTTCACATAATTAATAATACAGAATTAATTTTATAGTCTTCTACCTGGAATGTTTTGGATAATAAACTAAGAAATTTCTTTCAAAAGCGATCAACTTGCTGATGACTTTAAAACCATTTATAATTATTATTAGCAACTTCGAAACTCTGTTCCGTAATTTTTGGTCAGATTATTCACTCTTCGGAACATTCACTAAAAAAATGTGTTCCTAATTCATGCACAATTCTCTTTACGAATTAAAATTACTCACACAAGATTACGGATTTCCTCACGGAATTTTGATTGCCTAAATTCAACTAATGCTAATAATCTTCTTGCACCTTAAATTTATGCTTAAAATGTTGTGTCAAACCATTCTAACTGCACTCAAACTTTTCCCCTCTCAGAAGCGTCGACTCTGGCCGCCTCTTACGACTGTAAATTCATCGAAACATCGTCGGCTCTGAACCATCGCGTCGACGAGCTTCTCGTCGGGTTACTCAAGCAAATACGTCTCAAGGCAGGCAACCTCAGCGCCAACTCGGAATCTGCCAAGAAACGCCTGAACAGAAGAAAATTCCGAGGCCGCAAGACTTCGGCAAGCGTAAAAGTTCGAAGCTTCCTCACCAAAGTCTGCGGCAAGGAGCCCAAAAGTAAAAGCTGTGAGAATTTGCTGGTGCTTTAGCTCTGGCTTTCATATAACGACTTTACAAATAACTATGATATAAATTTTTTTATTGGTAGTAGCGACTGTGGGTATGTTTCACCAGTGTTTATAAATTATGTTATAGAAGAAACAGATTTCAATTAGTATTTTCTACAGCATTTCAGTGTGCGCTAGGCATGTACACTGAATTGCGATTACATATCTTTTCCATTTCTTTAGATATTCTTTTAGTTATCACTTTTCTCATTAAAATATTAAATTTTGAAATTTATTCAGTATTTTTGTTCTAGGAGAGCCTTTGAAATGTCAATTTTGAAGATGTTGGCTCCGTCCTTTACCACCTTATTATGAAGTAGAAACTACGGTTTAAAAAAAAATCAATTTTATTTTCACTTTATTTAAAAAATCAAAGTTAGAAGAAGTACACATTGATTTTCTAATCCATCATGGGACATGAATGTGATTATGTTCTTATTTAATTTCTCTTATGTTCATTTCGAATAATAAGTGCATCAATACTCGCCTACTGTCAACATATCGCATCCTCATAGCTCTCAGTAGTGTATTGCCTAAGCCACTTTAGGCCTTGCAGTTTTTATAAGAAGCCTTTGATAGAAATTTAGATGCCGCAGATGTTGAAAGGCAGCGTCGATGATAAGAGTTAACTTCCTTTAAGATATTCATCATTTATTATGCTTCTGTTATATTAATTTACGCCTCAAAAAAGTAGAATTTTTCTACTGGGCAAAATACAATCTCCTAATTTTGAGAATTTATTTAATTTCTTATCCTATATTGTCCAGAACCCAATTTGTTATCAATATTATTATTGGCGTAATTCTTGCGATAACATAAAAAAATGTAATCCTAACTTTTCCGGTCATCGTTCGCAATATTTTAAGGCGGATCAACCCCAATTATTAGAGTATGCATTTTGTGGCGAGATTTACCTGCGAAAAGGAATGAATCACAGCCGAGAGCTCAATAAAATAGAAAATCTCAATTCTAATTTTTTCGTTTCACTTCTCATGCTAACTGAAGGTCACAAAATCAGAGACTGAAATCAAAATGTTGGTAAAAAGCATTTATACCAAATGACTAATGTTTCTTCTGTAAAACTAAGAAACGTAAATTCTTAAAAGTACATAATATACCATGTAAAATAATATCTTTTTCATTGATTAATTTAAATTATTTGTAATATAACCAATCTAGATTGATAATTGTATTTATTCGCTAAACCAACACTAAAGAAAGCTTATTTCAGTTTATATGAATTATACACAAGTGAACCTGCCAAGAGCCAACTTTAATATTGCTACTATCAGCATACAATTTTTCCTAAAAATATTCAGTTCAATATCGTATGCAATCTTCCATCATAATTTTCGCTTTTTGGCAATTGGGGGTGAATAACTTCTGCAATTTCTCAATTTTATTAACATTATTATTGCGTAGTTTTATGCATTACATCCGATCATTCAACAGCAAAACTTTTAAGCAAATCCCTCACTATTACATGCATGAAAAATTCTTATTCTGATGTTGCATGTGTTTTATTCAATTGCTAGTTTTATTATCAATATATTTACACATATTACGGGTGAGTTTATCTGTGTTTAAAAACCACCACTAATTACGTGGATTTGCCATCTTTGCATTGATATATTTTTTATGCAACTCTTTTCCTTAACCATTGTCATGTAATCAATGATAAAATCAAATACTGATCTCAATCATCGGGAAATCTCAAAAAATGCACATGAATGAGGAGGAACAAAATAATTATAATATTTGGTCGAGTAGGTGAATATTTTTCTGTCGAAAAATTTTTCAGCGCAAAGGAAATAATCAAGTATCTGCTTGAATATAAAATTAAAATCTTCTGCTTATGAAAACTAATTTTTGGTCAGGTACTCCTTAATGAACGATTAAAATTCCGAATTACATGTGTACTTCTCGACTCGAATTAAAAACGTATTACAATCGAAAATTATTTTCTGTTATATTTTGATTAATGACAAATTTTTCAATTGCGCTCTTTTCCCTGATTTTGAAATATTCTAGCCTAATCCACGTTATTTTGAACATATTTTTTCTCTAGTTCAGCCAATTATGGTATTCAGTAAATAGCACATGTTCTTTGTGTATCATTTTACTGGAAACAGACGGAACGTGGTGGCAGAAAATTTGGTGAATAGCTACGTGTTCACAAAACATATCGTTATTACATATGCTGCCATAATCTCCGAAGAGAGGTATCACATTATGTTTAAATCATTTAAATAATGGCACTTAAAACATAGAGATTTATTCAAGTGACCGAAGAACTTGTAAAACATAAAACTTGAGGGTTAAGCAGCACTTTGGATTCAGTCTTTGGACTCCTGTATTACGCTCGCTTAATTCAGTTACATACTGTAGGCTTTATCCTAAAACAAAGACCTTGCCATACTCAGATTCAATTTAAACCCTGCTGTCAGTTCATTCTTAAATCAATTATACAATATTCGAGCAGCCTGCAGAGCTAGTGGTAGGACCTGTTACGTACGGTTAGCTTATTTCAAAATCGTAAAAAATATTTCGCACGAGAGAACCGCCTTCTTCTTTTGCATGTCAATCTCACAGTCGACCTAAATCGTGCGTTGCCGAATCCATTAAGCGGACTTTCTCATAATCGAATTGATGAGATGGAGCAGAGTTTTGCGCAGCTCAACCTCTCCGCTGATTGAATTATGTCTCCCGTGGCCGAAACTGAAAAATATGCGTCTGATAATTTGAGGGAAATGCTTCAGAAACGAAGGTACTCTCGGGCGTCTAACTTCCTGAATTCTGATTGAATACTCAATCGACTTTGTGGAAGAGTGATAAAATATAATGTTTCAGGTGTGTACTTAAATTAAGAATAGCAAATCTAGGAAAAAATTTTTAATCTCATAATCGTTAAAATTTATATAAATTTTCATCATCTATAATTTTTGATGCTGGATGCTTAAAAAAAATCTTGACAATTTAAGTTTGAAAACACTTGCCTCGTTTTTTTCTCTTGGGCAGTTAACCATGTGAGAATCAGAAAAAAATCAGAAAAAGATTAGTAAACATAATGAAATTCAAACGCAAACTCATGAAAATAAAATAATGAGAACAAGAAACAGTTGAAAATATTATTAAAACTACAAAATTATTAGAAAAGTTGTCAGGAATTTCCTTTCATCTCATTTGAGATATTCATCTGTGTATTAAGTTGCAGGATTGGATAAAAATCATAGTGAGATGATAAACTTTTTAATACGTATTGAAATAACCTGTTTTTCTGTAGTTCAAGAGAGTCTTTAGTGATGATAAATTAGAATAAGAAATATTTCAGGAGGCTCAGAGATTAAAAAAATTAGTCGGGTGTAATAAAATAGGAATCACATTGCATCCCTATCGAAACTTTTATTCCTGTCAGCCGCTGGCACAAGGACGCCCCAAATTCTTGTTACGGTGTAAATTAGAAGCTCTATGTCCGCTTTAGGTTCCGGTTGCCGATATTCAACTGCAACAAATCCTAGGGAACAGTGTGCCGAGTGCTGAAGTGTTTGCTGGTGAAGAAAATGTTTGTACTTTTGTATGAGCGTAAGTGAGGTAAAATATTCTCATATCCTCCATATAAATAAATAGTTACGCTTAAAAATTACCTTTTAAAAACAAAACTTCTGAGTCCAGTGTCTCCGATGTTACACATGTACAATGAATTTCTTATTTTATTTTTATATAAAAAAAAGAATCAATTACTATTTTTATGTTAAAAAAATTTTGACATTTAAAAATTATTCATTCTGTCAATTTATTATTGCATTGCCTTCGACTTTACGCAAGTGTGCAAATTTCTGATCGATTGGACGGGTAGAAGTGTGTTAAATATCGATTATAAGATTATTATCAGACAAATTTATTTTTCAATCTTCTTTAAATAAAAATATTAAATTTTTTAAATTATGTATTCTCTTAATTTATTCATGGTGAAATGTTTGTGTGAATAAATTGAGAGAATAATTGCGAAATAAACTCATAATATGGAACTCCATAACATAATTTACTTAACTCCAACTCAAGAAGAATGAAGAATGTTCTTCGACTTTAAAGACGCGGCTTGTAGCCAACTAACGAATGTTGCAATAAAACTTCCATGAAGCAGTCGCTGCGTCGCGTACATTTCCTCACCTGGTGTTTATTAAAACATGTTGAAGGGAGCTGCTGCTTCTCAGCAGCTGAGTGCGCAACAATCGAGCCGTTGCAATTGCATTGGCCATTGTTATGATGTTGATAAAACATGGTAATGTAAGGAAGTTTAGGTTGTGCATGGACTGGTGGTCTCGGACACTCGAGCTGTCACAGACGCAGCGTGAACAAGTGCAAGGACTGTTGGTATCTCTGAATCATTTCACGTTATTAAGTGTAAGTCTCTGAAACGTGTGAACGTTTCACCACATTGTGGTGAAATGTTTTCTCGAGCTTATTCATATTATTATTCATATTATTATTGTATAAATAACCTGTTTTTCTGTAGTTCAATAGAGTCTTTAGTGATGATCAATTAGAATAAGAAATATTCCAGGAGGCTCAGAGTAAAAAAAATTAGTCGGGAGTAATAAAATAGGAATCACATTGCATGTAATATTTTATTAACATTATTGGAAAGTAGATATGCAAATTCTAGCCAATAAAATGATAGTTGTTAGTGCGTAAAAAAACAAGAGGCTACACAGTAGTTCAGTTTTGGCTTTCGCTCCGAGGCTTGACTTTATATCAAAGTAAAGAAAAGTGCCATGAATGTCAGTTCATTTTATTGGGAAACTTGTCCTGCTGGCTACATTCAAAAAATGTATAAATTCCATTACTATGAACTAATAACAAAAATCGTAAAGTTCTCACGAGGGCAGACTGTCTGACCAATGCTCTATACGGCCCTTTTTCTCAGCTGCGTAATCGAAGAGTTCGCCTGGCTTCGAGCCCACATTGTCACTGCTTGCAATTAAAGGATAGACTTGCTTGACCTCAGGGTGCACATTCTGGCGGAACATAAATACATGTAACATGTTATCTATGATAATTATGTAAAAATAATACGCATGCCATAGAAGCCAAAAACTAGAAACAAGAAGTAAATACAAATAGTAGTTGGTAAGAAAGCTTATGATAAATTTTGAGCGAACATTCGAAATTTATCAGGTGGTCGAAATCTTGCTTAATTATTACTTAAGATTTCCTTATTTAATTAGCAAAACAAAGCGATTTTTTCATGATAGAATTATGATTAATTATATTTCTAGATAAGAGATAAAAATATTCTACTGTTACATTAGCAATTGAAGAATATCTGTAGATTTAGAAGCAAAATTTTGTTTTTACGTATTTTACTCAGCTGACTGTAGAATTTTTTCTGACAGACAGTATAATAACTGCAACGTCCACTCTATCTAAAACGTATGATAAAATATTCGTTCAAATTTAATCGCGCTTTAAATGAAATATGCACTAATTATCCCTGTTTCTAGAAATTTTCAAGTATTTTACAGAAAATAGAACTGACTTCCCTACCTGTATGTGGAAAATTCTCAATCCTATTTCAACAAACCATTATTTACAACATTCAAAGAAAATGATTTTAATATTATTTTGAACTTATATAAAATGAATATTTTTCATAAAATGAATAAATGTTTGTATAGATTTATACCTGGAAATGTAATTTAAGAAGTTGTATCATTGATGTTTATGTCGCGTTTGCTTACAAATAAGTGTTTTTTGCACCAAGTTTGATGTCTCTACCTATGTATATTTTGATGTATCTTTTACCTGAGAATCAAAACCTACGAGGCATGAAATGATTTTTTTAATAATTTCAAGTATTTACATGATTAATAATAATTGCAAATGCATGATCCATTTTGAAAGTAAAATCAAAATATTCCGTGCCTGTCCTCCGCCATTTGACATACGTCGCATAGTCATCTCGAGCTCCCGTGTTTCATGACAATTTCAAAACTGCAATACTCGTACTTCAACTAACTTCAGTGCGGCAATACTCGTGTTTCAACTAAATTCAGTGCGGCAATACTCGTGTTTCAACTAAATTCAGTCAGGCAATACTCATGTTTCAATTAAATTCAGTCCGGCAATACTCGTGTTTCAATTAAATTCAGTCCGGCAATACTCGTGTTTCAACTAAAATCAGTCCGGCAATACTCGTGTTTCAACTATATTCAGTCCGGCAATACTCGTGTTTCAATTAAATTCAGTCCGGCAATACTCGTGTTTCAACTAAATTCAGTCCGGCAATACTCGTGTTTCAACTAAATTCAGTGCGGCAATACTCGTGTTTCAACTAAATTCAGTCAGGCAATACTCATGTTTCAATTAAATTCAGTCCGGCAATACTCGTGTTTCAATTAAATTCAGTCCGGCAATACTCGTGTTTCAACTAAATTCAGTCCGGCAATACTCGTGTTTCAACTAAATTCAGTCCGGCAATACTCGTGTTTCAACTAAATTCAGTACGGCAATACACGTGTTTCAACTAAATTCAGTACGGCAATACTCGTGTTTCAACTAAATTCAGTACGGCAATACTCGTGTTTTAACTAAATTCAGTACGGCAATACTCGTGTTTCAATTAAATTCAGTCTGGCAATACTCGTGCTTCAATTCAATTCACCCCGCAATACTCGCGCTTCAACTAAATTCAGTCCGGCAATACTCGTGTTTCAACTAAATTCAGTCTGGCAATACTCGCGCTTCAACCAAATTCAGTCTGGCAATACTCGCGCTTCAACTAAATTCAATCTGGCAAATACTCGTGTTTCAACCTAATTCAATGAGGTAAACTCTCGTTTCAAGTCGATCCCATACGGCAATACTTGAGTTTCAACTTTACCGTACGAAGGAAGAGTCACAAGCCGCTGTTTTAACATTAACAAACGCACAACCATTATTATAACATATCCCTCCAT